ATATTGTGAAGCATGTAAGTATTAAAATAACGTCAAAAGTAAGCATCAAAATTAAATCACGAGTAAAACAATTATTATAGTTTTTACATTAATTTAAACAATTAAAGACATTTCAATAAAATTTATTTATTTTTATTTAAAAATTAGAAAGAAAATTGAAGAAATTATTTTAAAAAAAATTGAATAATTGTGTTGAGTTGTGACTTAAACCCTGAAATTATAAACGTTAGCACTTAGCATTTATCGCACGTGGAAACTGTCACTATTTGAATTTTATTAATTTAATTAACAAAATTAATTAAAATTATTAATTGGTATAATATAATTTCTTATATCAAAACATACCAATATATTTTTTGTGTTTTTTTAATAAAAATAAAAATATCTATAAGGAAGTTGTCAGATTTTATTATGTGCTTAGTTTATTAATTAGTTTATAATTAAAATGATTGATTTATAATTGCTTTATTTTTATTTGAATCTGAAGGTATTTGAAATATCCGATTTTATTATTTTGCTAAAAGATGTGAAAGATTTTATTGGCTTGAAAAATTTGCATTTAGCAAATTTCTTAATAAAGAAGCTGAAACTTACTACAAAAGATTTAGAAAAATTTCACAAATTTCGTTAAATACAAAACTTTTTTAGTGCTTATAACGAAAGTAAAAAAGGTACCGTTAAAATTGTCTATTGTAAGATATAACAACATTGTCAGATAATACAATGTTATCAGATAAAACAATGTTATCAGATATTACAATATATTCGGCTTTCTTCCAAAGCCTAAGTGAGCGGCGTCTTTTCTACAAGGCAAACTAGCACTTGGAACTACTAAGACACAAAACAACTATAGTTGTTTTATAGTATATACTATATGGTATATAACAGGGCTGTTTTTTTGGACAGCCATATGCAGCCGACGGCTAATGTATGTGCGACCCGTGACTTCTTTTTTAATCTACTAGAATTACACAAATGTTCTGTACTGGTAAAACCACATTATTTTGTTTTTATGGTATACCAAATAAATGAATTTAAATTCATAAATTAATAAAACTAAATTTAATATTATAACCGTAGTATATATTATAATGTATTTATAATAATAACTATAAACGTATGTATTTGTTTCTACGGCCCTCCTATCTGTACAGTAATTTATATTGGCCCTCGATCGCATTTGGTCTGGGCAGCTCTGGTATATAGTATAGTAAGGCATATATATATATATATTAAATGAAGAAATATAAAAAATAAAAAAAAGTTTTAACAAATTTATTTATAATAAAAATTTCTAAAAGTCTATTTTCATAGTCTTTTTGTTCTCCAATGTATTTCTGGCCTCTGGGTTGGCTTCACCAAATCACTTGAGCATAAAAATTTTAACGGAAAAGTATTGAAGTTTTTTATGGCAACCGACAATTAAAATTGGTTGAAAAAAAAATTGAAAAACTACACTAACATAAAATTAACTATATATACAAGTATATATACATATACAATATTATATATGCAATATGGATTTTTTTTTCATTATTTTAATTTATTTAAATTAATTCAATAACTAAATTAAGGTGGCAAAAGAATCACGAATTGTTGCAACACTCAATATTGATAAATTATTTATTGTTAATTTTTTGTTTGGCTTGTTGAAATTTTATGAAGCCAAAACAATTTGTTGGGTTGATTTTATATGTGTTTTTATTATGATTTAACAATCTGTCATTTAAGTATTTAACATAGATATGATAAGTCAAAACTTGAATTTTTTGTTGTATTTTGTATGTTGGCCAAAATACTGGTTCACTTGAATTTTGTTTTTTATTTGTGTTTAACTTTATTATTTATAGTTTTTCAAAGTATCTTTGCATTTGCTTGACCGATTTTATTTCAAAGGTTTTCGATTTTCGATTTTATTTATTCACATTCAATGCAATTTTTCATAATAGTTCGAAAAACAGCGTGTAAAATTGAATTTCATCTCTCATTACCAATGAGATCCGTTCAGCGCGTTGTACTGAAACCGATTTGCATTTTGTGAGTGTACTAAAGCCAGTTGAGACATCATTTTTCCAGAATCATAAAAAATTCTTAATAATTGAAAATTTACTTTCATCGGTCAGTCTTTTCACCCTAAGTGTCGAAAAGGTTAATTTAATCAATTATTAGTATGAACAAAATTCGTTATAGGCACCACAAGATATTCTATATAAAATTTATTTGAATTCCGAAGAACTTAATTGATCTTCTCTATAAATTTCTGATACAAAATCTTAAGAGACTTAAAAGGAAATGATATTTCGAGAAAAAGTAATTAAATTGACATAATACAAAGAATTAAAGTTAATTTATTCCAGTTTTAAAATGTATTTCAAAGTTTCGAATTAAAAATAGTTGCTACTCTTAATAAAAGACGAGTCTAAGAT